GAATTGAAATATTAATTTGTATTGACTTTACATTAATTATTTTCGCACGACACTGTATTTTATTGTTCTCGTGTCGTATATTGTATTTACATTGAATAGACATTTTCATAAACAATAAAAGTCGACACCTACATATGTACTTATTTGATAAAGTCAAAGATTAAAAGGCAGCCAAAATAACATCGTATAAGCGTGAACGCCCTCAAAGTATATATAATATACATGATATTTAAAATTAATAATAAATATCACAAACATATTACATAAGCTTCGACGCTTCGCAATGAAAAATAAACAGGAGATCATAAAACATTCATGGCCAGCTCCCTTTGTCAGATCCAAAGCTAACAAACCCGATATGAATTTCCATTTTTTAGCAATCATATTAAAATTGCAATTACAATTAGTGGAATCTATTACGTGTCAATTCTGCATCAATTTTGACATCACCCTACTTATAAAGTTTATGCATATATTAATTCATACTTTGATTGACATTTGTCGAAGTGATCCTATTGTACTAAACTGGTTGGTGTAAGATATTCATACGTTAGATGAGTTTTCTCAGAGAATTAACATTTGGTTATATAATTATAAATTCATTACTGTAGCAAAATATATCAAATTTAAATAATTATTAACTAGTGCAGATAATTTTTAAAATTAATATTCTAAAAGTGTCAGTAAACTACCAGAATCTAAATGCTCTTGCTTACTATTCAGATAGAGTCGCATTTTAATTTTGAGAGTAACTGTTGATTATTATTAGTAATAATAATGAATAAAGTAGCTCCAAAACCTGTGAGAACTATTTTGATTTCAATGAAATTTAACTAAAAAAGGGAATCTTTCTGTACAACTCGCAATATCACAAATTGTAAAGATAGAGACATCCGATTCAAGAGATTTCTTGACAATTTCATTGAATAAAACTTGCCAATCAAGTTTTAATTTTTAAGTACAAACGCTCTTTGTTGAAAAGTAACGGTAGATCTGTTACTTTCGTTTTTTTCTTAAAAAAGTGTATATTTTTGAGAAAAAAATTGTTGACGGGGGTCACGCCTAAACCAAAATTAAGGTTTACTTGAACGCCACCTTTTATTGCACTTTGACATGGGATGATTGTACAAAGAATTTCTTGATTACCCCGATACCTTTTTTATGTGAAGATCTTTATTGAGATATCAACAGTTTTGAACGGTGGTTTGATAATACTAGCATATCTTCAAATTCTCAATAAATTCCACCCCTTTAGTTTACGTAGACATGTGAACATTGAGTAGAATCCAATCCTTTATATTTTACCACAGCGTAAAACTGAATTTGAACAAAAATTGTGAAATTATCAGACTGTTTGATAAAAAAGTGTAGATAAGTAATTTGGTAGAAAATAATTATGGGTTTTAGTTAGCGATTAAAATGTGGAAAACTTATAACTTATCTGGGTTAATACAATATTTAGTTTTAGAAAGATACATGGAAATAACATAAACACTCATTGAAATCGCCAAAATCGTATTCAATATAAAATCTTCCTTAAATAAATAAGAAAAGATTAGAAAATATTTCTCAACATCATAGTATAGAGGACATCAAAGAATATATGCTCAATAGTGTGGAACGAGCGCGGTCAGCGTTTAGGCTTCGTCTTAATGACGTTCCGAAAATTGGCATTTTTACCCTGATGTCACGTACAGCTAAGATCAAATAACTATAAAAATCTCTACTACAATCTCTAGGTCACTATTGAAATTGTAAAATTTAAACCTTTAGCAACATTAGTGTGCTCTACACAATGTTATTTCAACCATTGTAAAGAAATTGGGTTAGTCATCTTAGATTAAGTTCCATTGCTATCTTAAAGTCATAGTTATCGAACAATAAATTGGTAAACTGTTTACAAATATAGCCTAGATTTTCAAGTACGGCTTTATAACAACGATAAATAGCGCTGACTGGTAACAACAATTTTAGAATAATTTAACAAATTATATAATAATATAAAACACTAGCGACTCACCCTCGCTTCGCTTGGGTTCGTCCCTAGCTTGCTTCCCAATACAAACTTTAATCCCCTTTTTACACCCTTAAGGGATGATTTCCGGGATAAAAAGTATTCTATGTCCTTCCCAGGGTCTCAAACTATCTTCTTACCAAAATTTCATCTAAATCGGTTCAGTACATCCAGAGATTACCCCCTACAACCTCACAAACTCAAAAACTTTATTTCTTTATAATATTAGTATAGAAGCATAGATTAAAAAAATGACACCGTATAAATAAAACTGAAAAGAGTGTTATTTAGATTATTTGTTATCTCACACTCTTAGGGTATAAATACATATGTACACTCAAAAACCTTCCCTCTTTTTAGGTTACCCGATTTACACATAAAGGTAAGGTATATCAATTGAAATAGCCCTAAATATAGTTAGTAAATAAAATATTCATTTCTACGAAGTTCTATCCGGTGTGTTCTTAGAAAATCTTTGATTTTGTTTGAATATCATGTAAGATATTCTAAATATTCATCAAACATTAAATAATCCCTAATAAGAAAACTTTGAAAATATTTGTCAAAAGTATAGGTAGGTATGCTATACAATACCAAAAGTTGGGTAGACATTTCTCAAATTATATAGAAAAGGGCATCACTAGCTCGTATAATCCCTTGTAATTTATATTTGAAGAGAATTTACTATATGAATACCGTGTTTAACATACCTACTAGTAACTCAATAAAATCAATATTTAGGTCTGTATATCTATCGGCACATCTTTAACATCTATTATTATTTTTGATAATCATTTACGCTATATTATAAATTGTTTATTTATTATAGCATATAAAGATAACAGCGGCTACTCTTGCTTTGCTCGGGTTCGTCTCTAGGTTGCTTCCTCATACAAATTTTCATCCCCACTTTCACCCCCTTAAGGGATGAAAACTATCCTATGTCCACCAAACTTCTAAAATCAGTTCTGTAGTTTCGAAGCCTATTCGGTATAAAGAAACAAATCTTTCCTCTTATAATATAAGTATAGATGTTATTAAATATTAATAGTAAACTAGACATGTGGGAGCTTGACTCGCACGCCGAGAGTTTCGTTCCGCCAAATATTATGTAATGTTTTAAATTACGTCATTTGATAGGTTAAAAGTTAATTAAAATGGTTACGAATGCAAAGTACCTATCCATTGTATCGACAGGAAAGGTTAGTTTCTATTTTACAGGATTTCTTCATTTTTGCCTTTTGGCCACGGAATCATAAATAACTAAAACATATATTATGTAGACATTTCCACGATCGATAAGTTTAAACAAAGAGACGTCTTTTATCTTAACGTATAAGTTTAATACTATTATATATTAATCCCGATTCTGTACAAAGCAAATAACCTAACTAATAAAATAGCAAAAGAACATGTTTGAAATAGGTAAATTACCCGCAATATCCAAAAAAAACAAGCAATGAAAAGGGCATCTATCAAACACCGTGATCATTTTATCTACAATATTTGTACATCCCAATACATTTAAGAACCGGAACTGAACGCCTGGTCGGATCACAATACCATGGTTTGACTGTAACTCGACACCCATAATATTACAAGGATCGTCACTAGATAAAGCTGCAAATGACAATAAAGTCCCTTTAAAAGCTTTTATATTAATTTTATATGCAAAAGTCTGCTTAGTACATAGTATAAGCTACTAATTTACAAGTATTTTTCGATTAGATATATTACTTTTTAAATATTTCAAATCATTGAAAAGAAGGACTGTGCAAAATCGACATAGGTACGTTTAGGATATAGGAGTTAAGTATACCTTGTAGTTAATTTCATTATGACAAAAACCTCTTTCCTTGGTAATAATAATTGATATTATATATGCAATATATAGATTCCTTGTAAGAGTATTGTAAGAGTATACTAATATGTAAAACCAAATTCTTAGGTTTTACATATTAGTATACTCTTACAATGCAGTTTTTGTATTTTTTCTCAGATATAAGATATTTTCCCGCATTAAAAAGTATCCTATGTTGACCCGGATAACCAGCTATCATAATACCAAATTATATGAATATCCGTCCAGTGGTTTTTCCGTGATGCGGTAACAGACAGACAGACAAAAATTCTAAAAACTATAGATTCGGCCTCTGTATCGATAATAACGTCTATTACAATAAGATTTTCCAAAAAATATTTAATGTACAAATTCGGCTCACTTACAATTTTATTATATGTATAGATAAACTTTAGTTTTACGCAAATCGAAAGTTTTAAATTCCGCCTGCGAATTTTGCACGAAATCTGATACTTTATTAGGTATGCCGAATTTTGATGTAATCCAGGAATTGAGACAGACAATTGATTTCCGTTTCCTATGGGCAGATAACGCCACACCCCTGCGATCCGAGACGAGACTTAAAAGCGCATTCAATCGATTGATATTGTCATTCATATCTACAAGGTTACAAATGTTAAGTGAAATTTTTCGTAGAAATTAATGTGAATCAAAAACTAAATTTCACATACTAATTTCAATTTTTTTAACATTTATTGTGCATTTATTTTATTTTAAATTGCGGGATAATATTGATTATTAATAAGATTTTGTTTTAAAAAACTTAAGTGACGCTTCTGAGAGCTTTAATAAATAAAGCCATATTTGTTTAAACGTAATGGAGTGTGACACAACAAGTAAAAAAAGTTATTCAAAAAGCAGAACGTGAAAAATACTTTAGACATCAATAAAATAAATAGTTTACTGCTGACGCTGACACTTGTTCCAGTGCTTCAGTTTTAGGTGATTATTTATTATCACGTCCATTGATTTTTGCCACTTAATCCTTACTTAACATAATACAAGAGCTTTTTTTAATACTTAAACGCAATTTAGATACCTATCCTAATTAGTAGATGCTAACGAAAATTAAAAAAAAATGTTTTAAGTGACAGATGAATTGAGTGTGAAATATTTTAAACTTACCTCCCATGCGTATCTTCTGTCTAATGGCTGTGTTTCCCATTTGCCGTTGAAAGGTCCATATTTAGTGCCAACAGGAATATTAGCTCTCGCAAATATACCACCCGATTTTAGAACCAATTCTGAAGGTAAATTGAAATCTAACCTTTCAATATCATCTTTAAAATCATCATCATTCCTTTCTGGACTTTTTGCATCTAGGTACTTTTGGTTTGGTAAATCTAGTGGTCTAGACAAGTAATTTCGTGGGTAATCATAGGATGGTGGTAAATAGGGGTCAGAAAGCCCAAAATCTAAAGCACCGTAATATTCCTTCATATCTGTTCCAGGGGCCATAGTTTCCTGCTTGATATGAACTAAGGTGGGCGCTGATTCTGATGCTGCAGAGTCAGTCGGACTTGGTGGAGGACTGCCTGATTCCTGGCTGTCGGCCGCTGTGGAAAAATAAAACAATTAGTACGTACATAAATTACTTAAATCTTACCTTCTTAATTTATTATTTAAACTTTAATATACATAATTTTGAAAGTAGGACCCTGAATGTGGCTTGTAAATAAAATATGGTAATGGTATGTAAGAAACGGCCTAGTGCAAAATTGCAAAAAAAATTAACATTATTAGTATTTTTATTGAGAAATCAAGATCGCTCCTGTGCCTTGACAACGCGAACCTGTCTTATTTCAAGACATAAAAAAATTATGGAATGCAAGATGGTGATCGCATTATGCCTGGTTTCCGCTCGCCACAAAGGATTTCCGCTTGTCTCTCGTCTCTCAGAGCATCCCTCCGAAATGCAAATCAACATGAAGATATGCCTTTGTTTCTTTTATTTTAATTTTATGTACGTCTACGAAGTATTAGAGAACACAAACTAAAAGTACTGATAGAGCTATAACAGTTAAGCAAATTAAGCAAGGAATAAATATCAGTTTTTTACTTGAAACGTCATAAAAAATAATAAAGCATTACAAAAAAAAATGTCTGGACTTTTGTATTATAATTTATCACCGACCGCTATTACATTAAAGTAGAAAGATAAATAGCCAACAATAGTGTTTAGCGAAGGAAACAAATTCATTACAAGCGACGCAACGTACGCGTGTCATCAATAAACTACATCCCCCAGGCAAATACAGCTGAAAGAGACACTCCATAAATCATAACTACCCCATTATTACTAATATACTTGTTAAAACAACCCCTATCTTGTCCATACGTCTTCCACAGCACGTGGCGGTGAAAAAACTCTTTAAAATTAGACGCTTGATAAACCTCTAACACAATAAGATTACAAGCGAGGAATGATAACTGCTTAGCATTATAAAAGTGCAGTTCCGACTAACAAAACGCAGGATGTGCGTGAACGTGTCTAAAGGATCCCTTTTGTGAATCCAGTTTGGCAAGGACTGCGTTCCTTTAACCCAGTTGCTATGCCAGTTCACCTGTCGCAATCAATTTATGTAAAACCTTTTTAGTATTTAATTTCACTATTTTTAATCGATAATGACACAGTTTATGCCTTTCACCGACGGGAACGGGACGTCGTAAAAACGCGGTCAAATTTCAAATTTAAATTAGCCATCACAAGCTTGGTTTGGAGTTTTGAAAGCGACGTCGGACATGGACGATGCGAATCGTCGTTAAATCTTTAGTTTCTCTAGAAACTGTCAAGACTTTAAGAACACTGACAATGTTAATATGATCCATTTCAACATGCAAGCAGATATGAATTTAAACAATGCAAACTTCAAATTGCACATCTATACCTACATATAATAAAATTCTAAGTCGAATCTGTACATTAATTATTTTTTTTGTAAAATCTTATTGAAATAGACTTAATTATCGATACAGAGGCCGAATCTATAGTTTTTAGAATTTTTGTCTGTCTGTCTGTCTGTCTGTTACCGCATTACAGAAAAACCAATGGAGGGATGTTGATGAAATTTGATATGGTGATAGCTGGTCATCCGGGTCAACATAAAGGATACTTTTCACCGCGGGAAAATGTCTCATTTCTGAGAAAAAATACAAAAACTGCATTGTAAGAGTGTACTAATATGTAAAACCTAAGAATTTGGTTTTTGGTCATCTGAACGCGGGCGAAACCGCGGGCAATGCTAGTGTATAAATAAACCAAAAACAATTCCATTTTAAAATAAAAAATAAAACATAACATTTTAAATGTAAGTATCATTTCGAAGTCTGTGTCCGAAGACCTCACGGAAAGCCAATTTCACGAGTTAGCTACGGCGACTGACAATAACCGTGGCTTACGTTAGGTGTGTCACCGAGAGTTCACGACGCGGCTTGTACCATCATAAAACACTCTTAACACGACAAAGACAGTCTTTATATTTATAAATAGTATCTTTAAACCTTCGGTTTAAGATTCAATGTAGTTTGAGAGCAGAGTGGGAAATTAAGCAGGCATGCAAAGTGCATGCCTCATCATCACATTACATTTGTAAAATAGGTATTCATTTGACGGCCGTCATGTTTCGTGGAAAGCTTAACTTTCTAAACTAAAATATCTAAAGACTACAATAAAGAATATTGTACGCTAAAATGCTATAATTAAAGTTTATTATATTTATAACTTATAAAAAAATACTGCATGTTAATATTGAGTAATCATTAATAGTTTTTAGAAATAATCTTTAATTAATCATAGTAAAATTCTCTTTATATTATACCTACTCTATAATTGATTTTTTCTTTGAATGAAATTATTATAGCAGATAATATTTAATTTTAAAGAAATTTAATACTTTATCTTACCATATATCAGAATTTAGTTTATAAATATACTCATAAAACCTCAAGTTTAATAATTGCAAAAAAACTTGTTTACACAGGTCTCAAACCAATATTATAAAGACAGATAAAAACTTATTTCGCATGTCAATCATGTAAACAAAAACTCCTAACAACTTAAGCTGTTTCAAACAAGAAAAGTAAACATTTTCAAGCCGGCGGCGCCCGCCAAAAGATTACACCGTCGTTATTACCACAGATAAATAAACCATAATATTTGTAGGATACTTCGCACACCCTTAACATTTTAGATAACAGTTGATTAGTATAAAAAAAGGATTTATTACAAAAAATATCTCATCTAAAAAATCTAGAAATATGCCAATGAAGTATTGACGATAGAAATCTAAACTAATTTATTATATTTTATCCATTTTATTATTTTTATTATTTTGTATTCAATTATTTTTTACAATTTTTTTTATTTTCTTAAAAAAATAATTTAATTTATAATTTAATAATATTATATATTTAATAGTTGAATATATATCACAACTAGTTCTATAATAGGTTTCAATTAATAATATAAAAGGAAAATTCCGCATTTACCTACTCATACCTACCTACGTATCCGCATATCCTAATAAACGCAAAAGCGCGATATTTGTTCAAATTGTTTATTGGAAAGTAAAATATATTATGATTATTTATTACATTTATATTGACCTACTTAAACATGGTTTCCTTTTAGATACATTTAAATTTAAAAAAATGTATTTTTTCTGTGTAAAACATTCTAATTAAAATGTATATAAATAAAAATGAGTAATTTTTCGTTAAAAACAATTTATCAAATTATATCATTTTGTTAAATGAAAAAAATATTACAAATATAATTATAATAAACTCACCGGACATCTTCATCATAAATCACTTAATAGCTTAACAGCATTCAATTTTTTCTTTTAGTCCAATAACACATTATAATATAAAGAAAAAAGGTTTCATTTTCGACCACAAAAAAAAAAATAACAAAAACTATACTAATCTTCAATCACAGCACGTAAAAACGATATGGTCACGAGATAATTGTCTTTGGTAATGAACGAACAGACGTTACGCACGATCCCGACAGCGAGCTTCGGAATTTGCGGGATATGTGCGACGGCCGCGACGAACGCTCCCAGAGTAACGAGAGGAGGCGAGAGCTCATCCCTAGAATCCCGAATCATACCCTCGCCCGGGCCGCCCCACCCCTCACACCCCGCCTTGTCTTTTTACCGCACCCTTCTCTTTCATACGAGTTTCGGGGACGCTTACACAAGTTTGCCTGAAATATCATACATATTTTGACGACTTAATTTCTTAGAAATTTACCAACTTACTTTCTACACTGTGATTTCTTTTGTTCGTTTCTGATAGGCAGCCTATATAATTACACTAGGTATAATATCAATCAATGTTTCTCTTAGACGACGTAGCTATAAACACCATTACAATATTTTATACTAGTGACGTTTAAACAATGGTCCTTCAGTTATCGACAGGGCTTATAAGAAATTAGTTGCGGTCGTGTCCATATTCTATTGACCTATCTGGAGTGAAGAAACAATCCTTTCGCAGGTTCAATCACAACTGGTTATGCATGAAGTACCTATCACGTAAAACAAAACAAGTTAAGGTATCGAATAGACGCGGCAATTTGTGTCTTATCGTGTCGAATTCGATTACCGAATGGAAGCCACTACCTACTTTATTATTAACATTGATTCCTCAACCAATAAACAAAATCGATTACTTCAATGAGACATTAAAATTTAATTTTTAATTTAACTACAAAAAGGTTCAAAGATCACTTGCGTAATGTTAAATTTAATATAAATTTTCTAGCTTGCGGAATAAGAGCTGTACTAGTTAGTTAGATATAGTGACGTAGCGATTCGTAGAAACTAGCAAATAATCGACATTGCATTCGCATTTCAGCGTTGCATTATATTTCACGTCTGAAAATAGCTATTGTGGCAAGTGAGACGGCAGATAACTAGATAACGTTAAAGATCTGTGAGCGAGATGGCGATTGGTCGGTGTCGACGAGGGGCGGGGTCGCGCGACGGATGCACCAATGGGATGCTCCTTATTATCTGCATCTTTGTCTGTCAGGAGTCTGTGAGGTACAGGTGCCGCGCGCATCAAGTCACTGATTGCTCTACCTAGCTTGCGCTACATTATATAGGTATAGAGCTGATGAAAATTAAAAATGTATAATTGGCTTCGAATTCACATTTGATTTCCATTTTATAAGCCATTTAGAACTTGTTATTGAGTATTATATTTTATTATTGCTTTAGTATATTACAATAGGTACAAATACACGGGTTTGTATGAATTTTTAAACCAAGTCATTGTAAAATTCTTTCATTTGTCTTTTCTTTTATCCGTTGCTTATTTGTTCCATAAAAATCGTTTTAAGTACCTGTTCGAGAATAGAATGGACTTTACAGGACTTAGGACAGTGGTAGCCCAGTGGTAACGCACTCGCTTGGGAAACCGAGTGAAGCGGGTTCAAATCCCGGCTTTGCACCTCTGATATTTTCATGTGCTAATCATTTCCAACATGATTAGTACTTGTCTTACGGCGAAGGAAAACATCGTGAGGAATCCTGCATATCTGAGAGGTTCTAGTAAGTTTTCGAAAGACTTGTGCAGTCCGCAAATCCGCACTTGGCCAGCGTGGTGGACTATGGCCTGACCTCCCTCGTATTGAAGGGAGGCCCGTGCCCAGCAGTGGGACGTTAAAAAGGGCTGAATTCATACATACATAGGTACATACATTAGACATAAATATTTATTTAAATTTGAAAAGACTAAATAGCTGATGAAGCAGTGAGACGCTCTTATTTTGTTTAAAAGTATCAAGATTACATATAAAACACTTCATATAACGTATACCGAAAATAAATAATCTTATACTATTCCTCATCTCGTAAACAATCTTATGCAAAAAAAAAAGATTTATTGCAGAAAAATAACTTGTGCATTTATAATATTAAAAGAATTTAATGGAAAAAAATAAAATTTCAAATGCACTTTGCAGTATCATTCGTGAAGGCGACAATCAGAATTGATTTGCACAGACACGTTTGATAATCGACTCTCTAATAGATGCAATAATCGATTTCAAGCTAGTAAAGAAATGTGCGAACAACTTCGTTAGTATTTACACACATAGACCAACTACCTCTATTCTCGTTAGATGTAGATATAAGATTTTATCAATTATTAATTAAAATGGGTTACAAAACTGTGTTTATATAATATACCTACCTATGTTCATATAATATGTATTTATAATGAGAGTATCTATCTTCTATATAAATAAAAATCAATTGCCATATATATGTAAATGTACTTTTTCAGAACGGCTGCACCTATTTAGCTAATTCTTTTTTTGTTGTGTTTGTAATTGTCAGGACAAGGTTTGGGAGAAAGAAATATTTGTAAAATTGTACGGAAAAGTGAAAAATTTGGGTTAAAAAATAAAACAGTGAGTTGACAGATTGACGTTCAGTTGTTCAGTTTCTTCATCGTGACAACAATATTTAAAAAGGAAATCGACAGTTTTGTCAAAATTTAAGATAAAAATATTTGTCTATACTAATATTATAAAGAGGTAAAGTTTGTGAGGTTGTAGGGGGTAATCTCTGGATCTACAGAACCGATTTAGATGAAATTTGGTAAGAAGATAGTTTGAGACCCTGGGAAGGACATAGATACTTTTTATCCAGGAAATCATCTCTTAAGGGATGAAAATGGGGATGAAACTTTGTATAGAAAAGCGAGCTAGGGACGAACCCGAGCGAAGCGAAGGTGAGTCGCTAGTTTATACCAAATATGCTTTTGAAGTACCTTTAATGAAAAAAAAGCAAAACAATTAGTTAATTTAAACGGCCAAACAATTACTTAGAACAAAATGAAGTCAACACCAAATACAAATAATGTCAATAATTTATTTTCAATATTGTTTTATTAGAAACGCACCAATATAATGGTTATGGCAAAGCAGTTAGTTCAGTAGGGAAACTAATTATCGCCTACATAGTCTAGCCAAGAAAACAAAACAGTAATTTACTCAAGAAAATGAATGTAGTCTATTTCTAGTAAGAATGTGGTAACATTAAAATGCAACATGTCTGCATATATGAAAATTTATTCGAAGTAATATCGTTCCACCAAAATTAGTCTGTGACACAGCGTGCAGCTAAATTATTTAAAATAGCTGTTTTGTGCCCTCGTATATCATCGTTTGCAACATTAGGTATATAGGTACACTAGTACGTTACGTTCGTTTGTAAATTTTATTACTATAGGTTTTTGTGGTAATAATAATCTACGAGTATACATATAATAAAATTGTAACTAAGTCGAATCTGTACATTAAATATTTTTTGGAAAATCTTATTGACATAAACATTATTACCGATACAGAGGCCGAATCTATAGTTTTTAGAATTTTTGTCTGTCTATCTGTCTGTTACCGCATCACGGAAAAACCACTGGAGGGATTTTGATGAAATTTGGAATGGTGATAGCTGGTTATCCGGGTCAACATATAGGATACTTTTTATCGCGGGGAAACATCTCATTTCATGGAAAAAATACAAAAACTGTAATGTAAGAGTATACTAATATATAAAACCAAAAAAATTGGTTTTTGGTCATCTGAACGCGGGCAGAGCCGCGGGTAATGCTAGTATAAAATAAAATCGCGACAAAATCCGAAAATATGGTTTCATTTAACAACTAAATGATAGCAAAAATCCTATAAGGAAAAATAAGATGTTATATAATTTTTATAATTACATGCATTTTTCCTATCATAAATCGTTTTTTTTTTCTTTTCTTTCTCAGATTTAGAAAAATATTAAAAATACCCTTTTATATATTGTCACACACATCTTACGCACAATGCATATTTTTTTAAAAGAAATCTAATCAAGATAAGCGAATTTGCACAGCGTGAGTCCGCCGCCGTGGTACGCCATCTTAGCCGGACAAAGGAGTGGCCAGTAGCTGCTTTCATCTCAATAGAGCTAAATCAGGACGTTATAGATGGATATATAGGGTTATTGCACTATATAATAAACTATATACTATATACTAAATCTTAAGTGGAATACGCTTTTGTTAAAATATTTTAGTCGTTATTCTATATAATTAATTTTAAGAGAACTAAAAACATATTTTTATTGGGTATATTTTGTACCTCTCTGTCTTCCAACCAACTCCATGTAGGTATATACTAATAGATATACAGAAAACCTTTTAATAAGTTATAAGAAAAAATTTTCATGATTAAACACCTAAATATCGTAATATTTGTATCTGTTGACTATACTAAAAAGTTATACTAAAATTTTGTATTAACCAACAATGTTTTCTTTTTTAATAAAAGACATTCAGATACGAGACGCTAAACTATTATTCATTAATAAACACTCACCCATACCATACTAAAGTATAAACACAAATACTAAGCAACCACCCTAAATAAATCCTCCATCGAAACAAACTTAAGGCGTAGAGGGATCCCGCGCTGAATTCACAATGACCAGGTACGTGACATATAACTTCTGTGGCGACAATTTTATTTGCGGACTGCCCCCCATTTGGCACCTCCCTTTGTAGAGAATTCGTTGATAGTATACTTCATAGAACTAAGTGTGATGGAAATGGTACCAATACTTCAAATTGAATTAGTACTTGATCGAAAAAGTTTTCTTTTTTATTTCGAATATTATATCTAACATAAACAGCTTTCGAGCTTTCAAATAGTCAAAATAACAAACTAAGGTAACATAAACATTTAAAATATTAAAATTACTACTTTGGTGCAACTTGTCTATTTCTTACAAATTATT